GGGGGGGGGGGGGGTGCTTGCTTGTCCCCCCCTTTCCTGCCCTGCCAGGCCTGTGCTCGGATTAAGGGTCTGATTGACAATTTTAGGGGGCCCATGTTTTTCCCCCCATTTTTGGGGTACGGGGATCCACCCTAGAACCTCTGACTCAGCAGGGGGTTTGCCAGACCTTTGCAGAGATACCACTGCTCCCACACAGATAGCAATGGTACTTCTCTAAAACAGGCAATCCATATTATGCTCATTTATTTTGTAGCACTGCATTACAAAAGTACACACAACCTGTAATCAGCAAAGCTTATGTTCCCTGCTGATTACAAGGCTCTAGCTGGGACTCAGCGGGAAACTGTCAGACCTTTGCAGAGATACCACTGCTTTTACACAGACAGTAAAGGTCCTTCTCTAGAGCATGCAGTCAACACAATTTATCCGATGTGTTCATTCATTTTTGCAACTCTGCATTACAAAAATACACACAACCTATAATCAGCAAAGTTCATGCTCCCTGCTGATTGGAGAGTTCTATCTCTGACTCAGCAGGGGGTGTGTCAGACCTTTGCTGAACTAGTACAGACTTTTGTACTCTTCCTGACTTTTGCTGTAGCTGCTTTCTAAAAAAAGCGAACTGTAAGACTTTGCGCATTCTCGTCACTATGAAATTCCTATGCTCCTCGGCTCCATCTAGTGGTGGGAATGCTGTGTGTCGGCATTCGCCCACCGCATGGAGGCGGAATTTTTCAAAATCATCCTCCTATTGTTTTGATGCACTTAGATGTATTTGGCTGGCATGTGTTGCCCGATGCAGTGGCGATGCACTGATCCTGCGTCCATTTAAAAAAAAACAACTTGAATTAAATGTCATAATTGGCATTTCATTCACTTCTACGGGCACAGCAGGTTGCGAAATGGTTGTTTTGCATTGCATCTCGCTGCACTTAAAAAAGTAAGGCACGCCATACTTTTTTTTAAAGAGCACACCACCACGTTTCCACTGCAACACAGTGGTGTAAAAGGTGCCTATCTGTGACAAGGCAAATTGTATTGGGGCTGCGCTGGAAACAACGGCTAGTGCAGCCCCAACACATGTGTTGTGAAAACTGAAAGTTCTATGTGGGTTTTGATAAACACCATACTCACTTAATAAGTGCAAGCATTTAAGTAAACTCAATCCATATCCATCTAGATCTTAATATAACAAATGTATTATGTTATGATATGAGTATTGATTAGGAAGCATCAGTGCAGCACAAACTTGTTTAAAAGCAAATAATGTGACCTAATTCCTGTGAAAGCACAATTACAGTATTTTCTGGCTCTGATCTGTAAATACATAAAATACATTGAGGGGATTTATCAAAACTGGAGCAGACAAAATCTGGAGCAGCTGTGCATGGCAACCAATCAGCTTCTCTCTTTACTTTTCAAATCATAACTGAACAAACTGAGAATACCGTATATACTCGAGTATAAGCCGTCCCGAATATAAGCCGAGGTACCTAATTTTACCACAAAAAACTGGGAAAAAATATTGACCCGAGTATAAGCCGAGGGTGGGAAATGAGGCAGCTACTGGTAAATATACAAAATGAAGATAGATACCAATAAAATTACATGAATATTTATTTAAAAGAAAAAGGGGCTAAAAAACTCGGCTTATACTCAAGTATATACGGTAGATGCTGATTGGTTGCCATGGGCAGCTGCTCCAGATTTTATCTGCTCCAGATTTTATCTGCTCCAGTTTTAATGAATCCCTCCCATAATCCCTGGTTGGGATTTTATTGTAAAACTCTTAACACAAAAGCATTCTGATAATAACTATAAGAGAAAGCGATCTTGAAAATATGCAAAATATTTTAATATTTTTTAAGCACAATATTAAAACCAAATTCCTGGCACCATGATTTTTTAAGTTTTTTAACTCCTTTTTCTGCAACCGCTGTTTAAATAGTAATTGTTTTCTTGATTAGTTGTCTGTAACCTGTGCTTCCGGCTCCTAGCCACATCAGAAAGGTGTGTATGACAGATAGCAGTTGCAGTGTGGTGCCTCTGCCCCCTCCTTCTGCTTTGCCATTCACAAAACACAGAGTTATCCCAGGCTCTGCTATGTACGGAAGCAGAACGTTGTAACTGGTGTCTGTCATGGACACCTTTTTCCATTCGGATGGAAGCTGAAATCACAGGTCCCGCTGTACTTTTTGGGGGATCTCCATACAGCTTACAGACAACTTTTCAAGTAAGCAAACACGTAGGGGGTTATTCACTTAGCTGCCCAAGGTAGCCGAATGAATAACCGAGTTAAACACCCTCGACTCGGAATGAATAACCGAGTCAAACACCCTGGTGCTTTTCATTGCATGATGCCTGGAAAAGCACCCTCCCAATGCCGAAGATATGTGGCCTGGTATGGCGCAGGAGGGGGGTGCTCACTCGTCCTGCCAGGCCTGTGCTCAAAATAAGGGTCTGGTTGGGAAATTTAGGGGAGACACCACGTTTTTTCCCCCCCCATTAAATATATATATTTTTTTACTTTTTTACTTGGGGTCCCTCCTAACTTGCCTACCAGACCTAAAGGGTCTGGTATAGATCGGGAGGGGGCCTGCAAGCTGTATTTTTTTGTTTCATTTACATTTGCGGGAAGAATTTGCGGGGAGAATTTACATTCCGCAGACCGTTCTACCAGCTTCGGCTATGACTACGGCTGAGCCGGGCTGAAGCATATGCATTGTAAATAGCCAAATAAATTGACAAATAGTTTGGTTTGTGTAGCAGTAATTTGGTATCATTTTTTATAGAAATTAGAGAACGGATATTGTGTACTATATCAGGTTATTTTCATGCAGGCCCTGGCAGAAGAGCATCAGAATTTTGTGTGTAGTGTTTGATCCACAATGAAAGTAGATCATCAGTTATAGGTCTGCTTACTGACCTCTTACTGTATATGTGTATGGAGCTTTTCAGTTCCTTACACTAACCAGTCTTATAGGGCTTATTCACAAATGGGTGAAGAGTTTGGAGAAGGCAGGAGAAGGGAACAA